AAAAAAAAGTCTCATAGCTATATTTGTGATGTTATTAATATTATGTTAATATTACCTAAATTATATTACTGCCTATATGCAGAACTATAAAGCACTTACTTGAAAATAGTCATGCATTATTCAGAATTTTTCACAACTGGCTTTCAGAGTGATTTCTGCACAATCAATACATATGTAAGCTATGTCAGAATGGGCAAATATATGATAATATAGAATATATTCCTATAAAATGCCTATTTTTTCACCATCTATACTTCATACTACAATCTTTGAATAACCTATTTTACAAATATTTCCTTGTGTATGTGCATATCTATCTATCATCTACCATCCATCCATCCATCCATCCATCCATCCATCCACCTATCTATCTATCTATCTATTTCAGGATGGTAATTTTGACACTTTTGACATTTAGCCCACAAATGCAAATTGTTGTATAGAGAAAGATTTCTGATTCTCAAAAAATTAAGCCGAATGTCATTCCTGCACCATGAATTCTCTTCTTTTTTTCTACCTTGTGATAACATGAAATTGGTTTTTTTTTATTTAAAAAAATACTTTGATTTTTAAAAAGATTAGTTAAGATAGTACACATTAAGGATCAGTAAGATTTTTACAGAGCAGCCATGAAGAACTTGAAATCTAAGAACCTGTACCCAATAGTCATGCTCTCTTCCTGTGATCACTTCCACCATACAGTATTTGTGCTTCTGCAAGTATACTTCCTGTGGCTCATGGTAAGAAAGCAAGGCTGAATTTCATCACAGAGCACAGGCAAACTGTAGGAAAAGATTCTTCTCTCATTCAGACAGTGGATACCTAGAAATCTTTCCATATTACATGATGATAAAAGGGCTCCATTTCTCACAAACAACACGGAAAGAATGGTGTGAATCTGGGGTAATGAATCTGGTGCTTTGACATATAAGTGAATCAGGTGTATGAATGTATAGGGTGTATAATATATATGTCAGAAAGTGGTTCTGGAGGTGAATGTATGAGTTGGTACACATGTGAATATATATGGAAATGAATCAACAGTGTATTGGGAAGAATGTTGTGTGTATATCCAAGAGAGCACACAGTGAGATATGTATAATACAAATGGTTGTGGCCTTGCCTACTTCAAGTGGTGATTCTCCCTTGATTTGCTTGTCCAGAGTGCATACAGCTCATAGTTCTAAAAATATTCCCAATTCCTCACTTATAATTTGTTATAAAAGCAAAATTGTGTTTTAAGTCCCTTTTTTTAAAAAAAAAATACCTCTATAGTTTTGTTCCAGATTGGACGATGACTGATTGCATCCCAGAGCATAATGTGTTTATCTTGCCCACATGTGAAGAACTGAGGCTTGATGGGATGGGCTGCTAGTCCCCAAAGCTCATCAGTATGGCCCTGAATGAACACAGAAACATTTCTTCAGTAGATGAACAATAGTTTGCATAGCATTATAAGCCAGAAATCCTATCAAAATGCAACATGAATAAGATATTTGATGGTGTATATTATGTTTAGTTTCACTTGGCTTTACGCACTTATACAAGCTAGTATACAATCCAGGCACAACTTACTTAGATTATATCTGGGCTCGAGGTTATATTTGAATTAGTAAACTAATTATACATGGATAAATTAGCATTATATTTGAATCTTGAGTTCAAATATAATGCTAATTTATCCATGTATAATTAGTTTACTTGTTTGTGTAAAAAGAAGCCATCCAGTCTTGTCTGGATGCACAAATCTATAAATTCAAGGTTCAAACATCATGTTAATTTATCTATGTGTAATTAATTTACTGGTTTGTGTAAAAGGAAGGCTGCAACCATACTATGTTTTAGTAATCCAGGATTATTGTCTTTAAATGAAATGCAGATAATTACATATCTAGTCCTCTTATTGGTAATAGTGGAGAAAAACAGCTTTAAAATTCTATTCTCTTTTCTTTCAACCCTATACCTTTCTTTCCCATGAAAAAGACTGTTTAACCCACATTCAAATCATCAACTGAAATACACATACAGTTTTACTTATTAATAAATGTCTTACTGCCTTTTCTTCTTTTCTCCTTCTCTTTTCTCACCACCTCTCAAAAATCAGACAAAAGCTTTTCCAGGCTTTTTTTTTTTTTCATTTAGACTACTTTGAAAAGGACACTGTACACTGATTGTAAAAATTTAAATTGATCTTACATGGAATTTTTATAAAATTACTACTTATTTAGCAAGTTCTCAAGTCATCTGCAAGAATAGTTTGCTCAGGTTTATAATTCAGAATATTTTTAAAAGTAATGGATTTAATGTTACATGTCATATTTTTGAAAAGATGGGTCTTAGGGACAGATTGTACTAAAAAAGTAATAACTACCTGGGTTATGGGAGAAAAGTCTCCTGACAAAGAACCTTGTAGCACAAAGTTTCGAGTGGTTCCTATCAATACAATGTCACCTTTCCCTTCGGCTATTGTTCTTATAGGACCAAACTGTTCCAGAATCTGTTTTTTAAAAAAAGTGAAAGAGTTAGATTGAGTGGGTACATAATTATTTTTCAAGTATACAGTCCTACTGTGCTGATAGGGGCATAGGGGTGAGGTGGGGTGGGTGGATAAGATACGTGTTGATCTGAAACACCTATTTATGTGTTTTAGATGTATTTATAGTTCTAATGTTTTTTGTAAGTCGCCCAGAGTCCCCTATTGTGGGGGAGATGGGCGGTGGAGAAATCCAATTAAATAAATAAATAAATAAATAAATAAATTTCTTTTGGGAAGCAAGATGGAAGTACCAATAGAGGCGAATATGTATAGCTCAGGGTTGAACTGTGGAATCCTTGGGGTTCTCTCAGCTTGGTTCTTTTCTTGCAAACGTTTCACTACCCTGCTAGGTAACATCTTCAGTGCTAGAGTGTGATGGGGTTTGCTCTGTTTATATACTGTGGCATGCCCTGCCAGTGTTGGCGGGGGTGGGGGGGGGTTGTTTTGTTCCTCTGGTAGTTCTTTGATTAGGGTATTGTTCACTGCTTGATTATATGTCTGGTGGTAACCTCTACTTATCTGGGTGATGATTGCTGGTGAGGAGATGTTCTGGTATTTTGTTTTCTTTTCTATTGTCTCTTTT